ATAGACTCACATCGAGGGTCTCCATGTGGGTTCTACGCTGGTCCTCAGCGTCCAGTTCATCGATAACCGCCATGAGAGCCTCCTCCTCCTTCAGGTCATCCGCATCTTGCTGGGCCTGGAAAGCTGCAGACACAACAAGGTGGGGGAGTTCATGTTCGACTTCTGTTCATACATTGTAAAGCACCCAAGACTTTTACTTTGAAAATACCCTGGTCAGACACTCTCTTCTTGGATGTCCATCGCGAAGGTCAGAACTCACTACTTTCACAAACCACATCAGTAGCAGCAATCTCTTTCACGCTGAAATACTTTGAGCATGGTAGGCTTGAAATTTGGAAAGAAGGGTCTGTGTTCAATGTTGATCTCTGTCTATGACTTACTCATTTTCACAGATGTTAGATCTGTTTTAACGACAACCAAGAGAGCATAAATTATTATAAGTTTCTTCTCAACCCCATTTTTCAACTTGAAAAATACTGCACACACAGTTAGGCTTTAAGTAGCTATCTGAAGATTCTGAAGGGAATCTAAGACACTGCCAGCACCTTCTAAGATGAGCTTCTCCTCCTCCGAGCCCTGCTCCACTCCCTCAGGAATCTCCGGCCCGTCGGCGCGGCTCCGTGTGCGCCGCTGGCGCTGACGCTGACGCATCCGGTCCTTCATGTTCGACCTCTGACCTCGCTGGGCTGCTGACTGCTGCAGGTTGAACAGCAAAGTCAAGGTCAAGATCAAGGTTGGTCACACTCTACTGGTTTGAAACTAATACTTCTGAATCAAAAAGGATGGCTTCGAACCATGATCACACCACGTTTTCAAGCCCTTTTCAAGATAGGTCATTATCATTGGCTCATTGAATCTGGTAAGAGTCAAAAGTCTTTTGTTGACACATTTTGTCTTCATTAATGATCACTCAATTATTGTCTTCCTTTGACATCTAGAGCATTTAGCAAAGAGAACACAACTGGAACCATGTTTTGATGCCGTATTGTAGTTATCAGTTCAGAGAGTGCAACAAGAGCATATTTTTTACTTTATTCTAACACATAAAAAGCCATTGTAAATGCAAATTAGGACTTCAGTAAAGAAAAGTGACGTTAGTGGTACCTTCTTCATGTCCTCCAGCAGCTTGTCAGTCTCTGCATCACTCCTGCCCATCTGCCTGTTCAGGGCCCGGATCCGAGCCTCCATCTCAGCATCCAGCTGCGCCTTACGACCGCTGTTTATCTCCTCCTGGTACCAGCAAATCAGTCAATCCATCCATCAATCAATCAATCAATCTACATGTATCAATCAACTAACCCAACCCTAAATCTCTCGCTGTTTATCTCCTCCTGGTACCAGAAAACCAGCCAATCAATCAATCAATCTATGTGCATCAACCAATCGACCAACCTGCAGCCACTCTAACCTTCCTAATATATAGTCATGTATCCTTGAATGCAAAATAACACTGCATGGTCACTTGAAGTTGATATTTTTCACAAAATACTAAATCTTTTAGAAAATTTCAAAAGTTGGATCCCCAAAACAGTTACCACACATTTTGATAAAAACAAAGAACTCAGAAAGATGCATAGTTTCACACTTCAACATGGCACATTGCACTTAGCTGGACAGCTAGTACCAAGTAATTTGTAGAGTTTCAAAGGTCTTGAGACAGTTTTGCACCTTATATAATGTTTTTACTCTGAACTCCATCTGACCTGTTCCCGTGCGAGCTCCTCAGCAAAGGCCTTGTTCAGCTCAGCGATGAGCTGCTCCTGTTGCTTAGCCAGCAGCATCAGGTCCTGGTCCAACTCATCATCCGAGGGTAGACTGATCGCTGGTACCGTCTCATCCACATCCACTCCTGCTTCCAGCGCTTCTGCCCTCTGCCTCCTACACACACAGGGGAAAGAACAATCAACCATCTAACTACATCACTGGTCTAATTTATCATCAGATGGCAGACTTATCGCTGGTACTGATCTCATCCACATCCACTCCTGCCTCTAGAGCTTCAGCCCTCTGTCTCCTACACACACAGGGGAGAGAAAATCATTTGTCTATCAGCGTACACTGTACATCAGGTCCTGTTTCTGATCATCTGCAGATTGAAGACTCATTGTTGTGCTAGATGAGACTCATGTCGTCTCACTTACATCCACATCCAAGCCTTCAGGGCTTCTGCGCATCCTACAGGCTGAAGTGAGGAAGACACCATATACAATGTATCTCATTACATGATTCTTAAACCTGGTCCAGCTTTTCACAGAATATGATGTACATCAGACATTGAGACCATCTGATGACTTCAGAGTTTTCCTATCTAAATTTCCTATGCACAAAGATTAGTCAACAGGATCTTTGCAATTTCTATTTCCTAACACTGACTAGAGATGTTTTCACCATAAGTGTGTCTTAAAGACCAGACTTACTGCAGCAGAGCTCTCTTCCTGCGGACTCGCTCCTCCCTCAGCTCCTTACGGACCTTCTTCAGACGTTTCTGCTTCTCACTCTCAAACTTCTCGTTGATCTTCTGGATCTGAAGACAAGACAAGGGATGAATACAGAGAACAGCATTTGCTTTCTGCTTACAAATAACAGTCAACAGATGTGCTGAGGACAGAGCAACCTCCAACCAAAGTCTTACAGCACAGTGAAGAGTCTACATTCTGTGCAGCCTCAAAAATGGCCTGTTCCATGTACATGTACCATGAGGAAACATGGTGTGTTACACCACAAGGCAGTTATACAGAATAGAGACTTATTAACCACTACATCTAAGACAGCCCATACCTGTGCTGACTCCAGCATTGCCTGTTCCCTATCCTCATCAGTAGTACACCCAGACACATTGTGTGTTACACAACAATGCAGTTATAGCACTCTCTCTCTCTTTCTCTCTTTCTCTCTCTCTCCCATACCTTAGTCAGTCGTTGGGGCAGCATGATGTTTGGCCAAAGTCTTCCACTGCTGACTGTCTGGCCATCTGATTGGCTGTTTGACCCGTTCACTCCTTTAAGTTATATGGACTAGGCAAAAAATTATGTTGGAGAAAGCCCCAACCTTTTGTGCAGATTCCAGCATGGCCTTCTCCCGCTCCTCATCAGTAGTACACCTGCGCAGCTTCTCCTTGAGCTCGGCCTGCACCTGCTGGATGGCCTTCTCCTTCTCCCTCTCCACCTCCTGGATCACCTGGTTGATGGCAGCGATCTCCTCGGCACGCAGCTCGTCCTCCAGCTGCACCGCCTCCCGCGTGAACCGCTCCAGGAGGCTCCTGGGGTTTAGTAAATAATACCATGTTGTAATACTGTTGTAAATGGGTTATTCTTATTTCTTTATGATCCCTGGATGATTAGTCATTTGCGTGGGCTAAAGGTAAGAAAATGTTAAAATGTATAATAAGATTAATGTCCTGGACAAGACAGATGTCACCAAGGTAACTGGTGCTGTAGCAGACACCCTGTGGTGTTGTTTTACATCACAATGTATATAGCAAGTTAGAGCTGGAGGGGCTGGCCAACATACGTATATATGATAATCATATATCAAAGAGTAAGAATAAATCGAGCAGTAGTTTTCTGACATTGTGTCTATAATTTCTCATCAGGTTTGTGAGGACTAATTCCATACCTGGACTTTTCCTTGAGCTCCTCCTCAGACATCTCCGGCTGCTGTTTCTGCTGTGTGACAGTCGTGGCCATGCCTGCTGTTCCTGCTGTCCCGGGGACAGCGTGGGACAGCAGCTGTGTCTGCACCACCCCTGCTGTTCCCTGGCTTGGCACCACGGAGGTCAGGCCCTGCACGGTCTCCACTTCCCCAATAGAGATGGATGGACCGGCAAACTGGGGAAAATTCATCAACGCAGGCATCACTACACTTCTGGTTATTCAAAATTTGTTTCTGACTAGTAGATATATATAGGCCTGCCCCCCCCTAAAGTGCCCCAACAGGGGCTATATGGGGGTGTAGCTGGGGCTCACATAACACCTCCGATCAGAGCAAAGATGAAGATATATATCAGCATGCAAAGCTTTGTACTCAGAAAGACGCAGTCACAAGACAAGGGAACTGGAACTTAAAGCCTTATTTTGCATGAATGACAAAAGTCACTAAAACTGAAGATCTGACCCATCATGAACAGAATCTTGCAAATTTCAGCTCAATTTGAGGCCAACGGTAAGAACTTGACAGCTGGCTCACCGTACATACTGTTATAAGTATGGTGAAGATTTACATTGTGAGGATTTACATTGTGAGGATTTAAAACTCTATGACCATCCACAAGATTGTAGCTTAAAAACAAGCTGAAAAATCTTCAATCAGTACACTGTCAGTACATGTTTTTTTTTAATGTGAAATCTGCAAGCAGAAATGGTTTACCTGTAGTGGTGCGAGTCCTCGGTGCACTGTTGCCGCCGTCTGTGTAGCCGCCGCTCCTGTCCCTCCGGAGAAGAGCTGCGCCCCCTCCACGGAGAGTTGGAACTGTCCGCCGGCCTCCAGCATGGCTATGAGCTGCTTGAGGAGCGGGATGAGCTCACGACTGGAGGCGGGGGAGGTCAGGTCGTCGCCGTACACGCCCGAGATGGTGGCATCATAGTCCCCGGCAACAACCACTGCTCCTGTCAGGACATTCTGCGGGGGAAATATATGAAAAATTTGTCAGTTTCTTTCATCAACAAAGTTACAAACTATGAACAAATCCAACAGGTCTGAACAACAGGCAAAGTTAAGACAAATTAGATATGGCAAAAACTGATTTGATTTTTCTATTGAATGTGTTCACTAGATGTGGTTGTATACTACTTTAGCCCCACCTTGGCCTCCAGTCCGAGCAGCTCTGCCTTCTCCCTGACGTACTCCAGGGCAGAGTGTTCCTCGTCCAGATTCTCCGACCGGCTCAGGATCTGGTCCTGTAGCTCTGCCTGTAGTCGCGACTTGGCCTGCCGGTAACGCTGCAGCACTGTAGCTTCTGCATCTGGGTTCATGGCTCCCTGGGGGGGGGGTACAATACTGTCAGTACGTGTACACTAACCCTACCACTACCCCAACTCTAAATCTAACCCTAACCCTAACCCTTACCCTAACTCAATCTAACCCTAACCCTAACTCTAACCCTAAAGGTTGACGAAATGCAGCTCTCTGGGATTTTTATAGTAGATGGTTTAACTGGAAAGAGTCAAGAATGGAATCTCTGTTTCCCTGTGACCAGTTCCTATCTCTAGTTCCTGCATCCAACCCTGACCCTAACCCTAACCCCACCCAACCCTAACCCTAACCCTCACCCCACCCAACCCTAACCCTAACCCAACCCTAACCCTAACCCTAATCCTAACTACAGAGTCCGTAGCTCCTGTATATTATAAGTGTGTAAGTGTTACAAATGTACGTACCTCTAGTTCCTGCATCCTGTCCAACCCTAACCCCAACCCTACCCTACCCTACCCTAACCCTAACCCTAACTAGAGAGTCCATAGCTCCTGTATATGGTGTGTAAGTGTTACGTACCTCGAGTTCCTGCATCCTGTCTTTGTACTTGTTCTCTTCCATCTGCAGCTTCTGGAAGAATTTCCGGATCGTCTCGGCGAACTTCCGATGCGCCTCCTGATGTCTCTCCTCCCGCTCCCGCTCCGCCTGGTTCACTGGAGGGTCACAGGTTCACAACATAAGTCAGTGTGATTTAGAAAAAAGGTATTCATTTCATTCATATTTATTTCATGAGGAAGGTGCTAGAGTCCCACAATATCATACAAAAGAAAGTTAACAAATATCACATGAAAAAAAAACAGTAACGGAGGGAGGTGTATGTTTGGTCAGGATAAATTGTAAATTTACAAATTTAAAGAACTTTTTCTTTCTTCTGTTTACAGAAAATCATATGTTTAGACAGTGAACATGTTAATATATGTAAGTATGCTTATGAGCCGTACCCTGGGTGAGGATGGAGACCACATCTGGCGGCAGGACAGCTGTGAACTCCTCCTCAGCATCCGTCCTCCTCTGGACCTCTCTCTTAGCCGCATCCAACAGTTTGTGCACATTCTCTGCCATGGTGTCCAGACAGTCCTCAATCTACACACAGAACAGGGAATATTAAAAGGCTCTGTAGAGTTCCAGGAGGAACTGACACACTGCCAACCTTTTTATAAAGATCAGACAACAAAAATTATTGGAAACCTCAGGTCAGCTGGAGCAAATTTTTTCTTTAGTATATAGGAAATTACATGTATGTAACCAAAGAGAATATCATTTAGTCACACGGTTGAATTATATCATAATGGAACCAGGTTCTGGTAATGAAAAACTGTTTGAATTGAAAAGATCTTCAGGCAAAAGTAAAGGAATCAAGAACAGGATGGTCTGTCTGAGTTTTGGATTTTGTACATCAGCATAACATAGATTATCATCATCATGCCACACCCAGAGGTGTGAATGTTAGCACAGTGTGAGAAACCACTACAGCAGTCTTGCCTTCTGTGCCGTGATGTTTTCCATGTCATACATCAGCTGGAACACCAGCAACGCCTCCTGATTGGTCGCCTCCTCCTCACGTTGCCGCTGGCGACGCCAGTAGCTCCGCCTAGCAACCAGCTCGTCCTCCACCATGGCGACCTGGGAACAGGCAGATTCATTTAGTCTGTTACCATGGCAACCTGGGAACAGGTAGATTTGTATTGTCTGTTGCTATGACAATGGGCCACTTCTCTATTGCCGGGCACTGTGGATTACTTCAAAACCAGTTTATCGCAAAACTGGTCATTGGTAAAAGTGCTAATATTTTTTAAAACACTGCATCACTGCGAAGGAACAGTTTTGCTTCTGATTTCAAACTTCTGAAATACTGTTCTGAATGACAGATTTTCTGTGTCAATGCACGTAAGACATGCTGCTGCTTGTTGAATGTTAAAACCTTAACAACTTGTTTTGTATTGTCATTTTATGGGTATGGAGGCTTTGAAAAGGTGTTTCATGTCAGAAACACCTGTTTCGCCATGCCATCCACAGAGCATATTGTACATGGTAAAACTTAATAAATAAATAAATAAATAAACTCACAGCTCCGAGAGGCGGTTTCCTCTTCTTGTGTCCTCCCGATGACAGTGTGACAGGTGTGACAGTCCCCGTGTCAGGACTGATGCGCACGCCGCTGATCGGACTCAGCTCTCCTGTCACCAGGTCCACTGTCGGCCGGCCCAGCATGATCGGAACCAGGCCTGCAGGGAGTCGGGGGATTATTGTTAGAACGAGACAAAAATGGAAAAGAAGGGTAAAAATATCAGTTACATCCTTATCTCCTCGGCATGGACCTGTAACTACTAGTAATCTGTCACCAAACAGGCCTACAACTAGCCATGACCAGTGTTACACTGTTAACAACTGTTTCAGCACCAAGGAGAGGACAGCCCTCTGCCAACTTCTGATTCGACTTGATTCATTATGGATTAAATTTTCAAAAATATATTTCTAACTAAATAACATCCACATTTATGGAAACCCGTAGGCCCTGCCTAATCGCAGCAACTATTAATAATTAGCTAACTAACTAGCTCACTAACCTTCTCCCTCAGGGTCCTCCATGGTGCTGCCCAGTGAGACGACTAGCTAACTAACTAGCTAAGTAACTAGCTAACTAACCTTCTCCCTCTGGGTCCTCCATGGTTCCCCCCAGCGGAACAACGTTGCTGGTTTTCTTGTCCCTGTCGATGCCGAGGACGGGAACCTGCAGGCCTGACCCCGCCGGGTCGGTCATCGTCGTGCCAACCAGGATCGGCAGCAGCTGACCTGTCGCTGCAAACTCCATCATTCCTTCAGGGGAGTAAACAAACTATGTCATAACTGGGGATAAACAAGTAAACAAACTATGTCACACTGGAAGAAAACAAAATATACAACTGGAAAAGTAACATTTGCAAAGCAAATGAATAATGTTTACCTTCGCATATGGTCTACTCTGTTAATTCTTACTCAAACACATTCACACATATATATAATATAGGAGCCTAAATCCCTCCTGCTATAAAATTGCAACATTATGTAACCCAACACCAGTTACTATGGCAACAGCCGTCTGGTTCAGTCAGGTCAGAAGTCACTATTTGGAGAAGAAGAGGAAACGTAGCAAAAACAATATGTTTTACTTTGGTAAACATAAATATTGCAGATTTTGGAACTGACCTGCGGAGCCTCCAGTAGCGGCCAGGATAGCAGCCCTCTCCTCCCTGCGTGTGAGGTTGTGCCCGGTGCGGAGGAGCTGTGCCTTGCAGCGCTGCCGTGCCTTCCCCAGCTCACCTAGCGCTGTCTCCAGCACACTCTGCTCGTGGTGACAGTTCAGCGCCGGGCCGGCCTGCACTGCCTCAGGGCCTGGGGAACACACAGGAAAAATGGCTTGAACTTTCTCATCTGTACAGACATTGTCTAAAATAAGCTTTCTTCTGATTGAATCTAAGATTCATTATCAGTCTGTAATTTGGTGTGGTTAACAACGTTTGAAGAAACTTCCATGTACCCAATGAGAAATGAATGCAGATATTGATGGAAATCAAACGATTTTATCATTATGATAACATAAATACAACATATATGAATCTATCTGTGACAAGAACCCATATAAATATACCCACCTGTGACGGCGTCCTTGTACTCCTGCAGTGCAGCCAGTACTCGGGCCTCGCAGGCGAGAACACAGGCATCCAGCAGAGCCTGGTAACCTCCTCCACTGGGCAGCACATCACAACCCTCCAGCACACCGCCATGCACATGGGCTGGTCTGTAATACATGCAAGGTTTACAGGTTTTACACACAAATCTCTGAAGGTTTTACACACAATTTTGATAGGTTTGCAGACATAGTTAAAAGGTATAGAAGTTTAGACACTGTGCAAGAACATAGGACAATATTTATCTATTTCAAAACCCTGCAGCTAAAACAGATCTGTCTAAAGAAACAGATGGCAGACCCAGCAGATCTTGGAATTAGCACTGTTTCTATTTGTTTGCTAAATATTCTTTTAAATAGCTGTCAGTCAAGAGTAAATGCAATGTACCACAAATTGTCATCTTGCTGTAAGTACACTTGAAGCTCTAAGGCAGAGACTAGGACATTTCATTTGTAAAGGTTTTTCACAATGTTTTAAGGTCTAGACACAATGTTTAAAGGTTTAGAAACTGGACAATGTTTATGTACATGTAGTTCAAAATCTGGCAGAAACATAATTATTGATTGTCACTATGCTGTCTTAGAAGTGGTTCAAGGGCAAAAACTAAAAAAAGATATTTTATTTTTGTCTCTGTAATGACTGAAACAGAAGTCAGACAGGAACTGTAACAGTTGTGAGCATTGTCATTGACTACAAAGTTTAAGGTTTTACAGTGTCACATTTTTAAAGGTTTTTCAGAACATCATTATTAAGACTGAAACATCAGACATGTACAGGAACTGTTGTGATCTTACTTTCCGCTGAGCGGCTCTGAGAAGGTGTCTCCGGGGATGATGGGTGAGCGAGGGCCCCGCCCGCCGAACGTGGCAGTCGTGCCACCCAGCGGGACAACATCACCTGTGGGAAGGCAAACGGGAACATTAAAAAGTGATCTCAATCAAGTTTTAGCTTACTAAATGAGTTACTCCTTGATGGTTGTGAGAGAGATGCTGCGTTCAGTGTTTACAGAATCTGATTCATCGTACCGGGGCAATTCCCCAGCTCTTTTTGATGGGTACGGTGAACAAGGGACAAAAAAAAAAGGAAGGTGATCTCAATCCAGTTATAGCTCACCAAAGAGCTATTTATGGGTTGTTACAAAGATGCTGTGTTCAGTATTTACAGGTTCATTGTACTGGGGACATTCCCCTATAGCTAGCTCTTTTGGCCTAAGGACTAAAATATTGTGAAGTTAAACCTACCAGTTTCAGCGTCGAGCCCCACCCCCAGTATGGGCACGGGCAGGTCGGAGTTAGGGTCTATCATGACGGACCCCACCTCTATAGCAATGGGCAGGCCCGTGACTGGGTCTGTGTGGGAGCCTGCCAGGGGATATACCACTCCAGTCTGGGGGTGGATGGTCACCGCAGCAATGGGAACATGCAGACCACTGGGACAGAAAGTTACAGAAACAGCAGTGAGTATACGTACTACATAAAGACAAAAAAATTTCTATTGTTCCACAATGTAGGTCACACATTGTACAGTACTGTTATAAATTATAATTAATACTTTGTACAAGAACAAGCAGTTTTGTTGATCTACTGTGATTGCTAACATAAAGATTGCAAAAATAGGTTGTACCAAAAATACACTGGAAACATCACACAAGGAAAATGTTACTCAAGCAACAGATGGTGAGTTGCTGATAAAAAGTATTTGATGCTACTTGAAATGTCTGACAGCTTCCAAATCTATCGAGTTACTTAAGCAACCCAAGTGATATGAATAATAAATGATCGATGACTCTGCCAGTGCAGCAGAGGTCATGAACCCTGACCTGTTGGGGTCAGGCATGGGTGCGTTGAGTCGAAGGTCGCTCTTGCGCTGCAGGGTGGTGAGTTTGGTCCGTGTGGGCGCGCCGGTTTGTGGATCGTGCGGGTACGGCACGTACGGGATCAGCGGCTCCTCCGTTCTTGAAGCCTCGCCTGGCGGTAGGAGAAATGGTGGCAACAATCAATTTATGGGACTTTTCTGGCACCACTCTTAATACTACTAATAATAATAGATGCATAATATGTATACGCAAGATTTTACAACATTTTTAATTCTTAAAATGATATGCAGATGTTCTACACAGCCAAAAGCCAAAAGAAAAGTATGCATGATTGTATCCAGAAATCTGGATAGTCCACGTGTATCTAGAGAACTGTGTCTGGGGCAAATCTGCTTTCTTCTGGATACACGGAGACTATCCAGAATCGTGCCTGATCCTAAACCTGACCCATCCAGGCCTAGAACTAGATACGACTGTGCATGTTCCTCAATGCTCACCTGTAGCGGAGTCTGCAGTGAAGACGAGCCGTGAGGAAATCGGGTCGTACGCCACGTTCCCCATGATCGGCAGCACTCGTCCGGTCTGGGGGTGCACGAACATGTCCGGCACAACCGGCGCGACCTTCCCATCATGCAGCAGCATGCGGGCGTCGGAGTTCGGCACCACGAGCCCGGAGATCGGGTCCTGGTGGATCAGCTCCATGGCACGGACTGTACCATCTGGAGCTGGGGGGCAGCAGAGGAAGGTTAGATTTTCTACTGACAGTCTGGACAGATCAGAATTAGATGGCAGGCAACCAAGAGGTTCAAAGAAGGCTGGCAAACGACCTTCTGATAGCAAAATACTGGTAAGAGTGGCATACTATAGCAGAAGAATTATCTGAGTTAACAGCTTCTAAAAGACATTTCATGAATCAAATTATTATTCTCTGTGTGTGAAAGGGAATTGACAAGGTAACGAAATAATAAAAACTTTGAGGAGTTTTTAATATGCTTAGTGAGGAAGTCTTGGGCAAGTGAATGAGGTTATAGACTGGTTATAGAAGTTTAAGCAATGCAAATCCAAAGATTACTTAAAGCAGCTTTCTAATACACTATCAGAATATGAGCACTTGCCTATACTAAAGTATCAAAACTCACCGACAAGTGCCTCTCGGCTGAGTGGCTGGTTGGTGCCAGGATCCACCAGTTGTGCCCCGGTGCCCTGCCCCAACACCCCCCACGCTCCCACACGCTGGCTTTCTGTGGTGATCTCATGGGACATCCTGCCCAGCAGGGCTCCCACTCGGGCTGAAATGCTGCAGAACAGGACAAGAATAGGTCAGGAGTAGGACAACAACCCAGTGGCAGTGTTCCCACACAAGAGATACTGCATGCAGGAATATAGGACCTGGTCCATAACAAGTTATTTTATTGTGACAACACAACAGTGGCCCTTCTCAATACTCCCCAAACTCCAAGGATGTTGTGCATCTGAGAAGCACAGCAGGTTCTTTTGCCTACCTTCTCAGCTCCTTGTCATCCAAGGTCGGGTTGACCTTGCCCTCTGTGACCTTCTCCACAAGGTCGTGCAGGCTCCTCATGGCTTCCCTCATGGGTGCACTATAGGCAACCTGGAGACATGAAACAAACATTGTTACAAAATGGGCTGAATCTAAATCTCCGTGTTATCTTCTCAAAGTGAAGGTTCTAGTGTTTCACACATTTTTAATGTCCACGATATGGTTACCATCATAACTATAAAAATAAATAAATAAACCAGTGATCCAGAACTGTGCCTGTCTAGTTCTATGCATTAATGAGTTGGGGTTAGGATCAGGCACTGTTTTGGACAGTTTCTGTGCATCTACAAATGTAAGTTTGCCCAGGCACAGTTTTGGAGGGATACATGTTCTGGCCTATTTAGAACTGTCCCCGAGCATAGTTCTGGATAAGGAATAGTTCTATATAAAATTTGGTTCTGGATACAACAGAGTCCTGACCTGGTGGTCCTCCCTGGCGATCTCGTCTGCCTCCAGCAGCTCCTGTTGCCTCTGCAGCACGGCCTCAAACCTGGCTCCCAGCTCCTTACGCCGCTCCAGCTCTATCTCCAACTGGGACGGGGGATACAGGAGTTATACATCACTGGTCCACAGATTAGAATCTACATCTGCACTTCATATAAGATCCTTAGTATTAAAAGAAGTAGTGCCTAGACTTAAATACAGAAGAGTGGGGTTGTGGCAGTGTGCTGTGGGCATTTGGGATTATTTTTCCTCAATCTATAATGCAGCAAAATCATATTAATAATAATATTTAGCTTTAGCATAAATCGAGTAGACAAGTGGAAATTTTACCTCCTCCTTCTTCCTCTCATAGTCGGCCAGGTCCTCCTGTGTGGCCAGGGCACTGCGGCTCCGCAGGTGCAGCTTCGCCACCCACAGGCCCTTCAGCGACTCCGCCTCACCTGCTACCTTCTGGTATAGGGACTTCACCTGGGACAGAACAGGGCATAGGTCAACAGTCATAGGTCCACAGTTGTAGTTCAGCAGTCATAGGTCAACACCCAAGCATCACATCAACGTGACTGCATTGCTGCTATTTTCTAGAATCACTAGTAGAGGGATAAATCTCTCTGAGTTCTCTAGCGGACAATTGAGTACTCATTGAGTAATTTTGAAAGAGACTTTTCAAACAATGGAAAATTATGTAAGACAACAATTTCAAAAAAGAGACTTGTAAGAGACTGCAAGAGACCTGAGATAGAAGTTGGGAGAACAATGCCTAATCCAAAGAGAACTGCTGAGGTCTCAATTGTCCGCTAGAGTACTCAGAGAGATTTATCCCTCTACTAGTGAATGCACTTGCAGCAGAAAATGTTGTGATCTTTGTCTTACCTCCTCCTTCTGTCTACCCAGGATGGCGGTCACCCCTCGAGACTGCTTGGCCAGCTCGTTGTAGAAGTCCTTGGAAGTGAAGGCTTCAAGGTCAACTTGCTTCTCGTAGTCCCAGAATTCTTCACTCTTCAGCTCAATAGCTCTCGCTGAAAATTTTATACAATATAGTGAATTAATTTTATAACATCATGCAACACCCTAAATCTTACACACTGCATACTATGGTATACATGATAGCCTGGTCATTGGGTCAGCTTCAGGGTGTAGACAAGGCAGCAGAAATTAGAAAGAAAAAAAACTGTACATCTCTCTAAGACCATCTAATTTCACAGACTTACTCTCCACAGGTTCCTCCTCCTCCTCGGGAGCGCCCAGGTTCCTGTGGAACTTCTTGACGGGGTGGACGGTGGAGCCCTTGGAGGAGTAGTCGTCCATGTTGTACTTCTGCGACAGGAAGCGGTAGTACGGGTTGATGAACGACGTCTTCGCCCAGCCGTAACGACGGAACAGAAGCTGTGGAAGGAGCAAATGGATGAACCAATGGTTTATTTGATCATTTTGGTTGGACATGAAAAGTACATCGCAGCCACAGGCTGAATTACTGAAACGAGGCATCAAGGAAGAGGTTGGGTGAAAGAACCCTCTATTTTTCATTTAGATTATGTAAAAATGAGTCTTTGATGGGGCTCACAGCTCTTAAAGTAGAAAACAGGGCATCAATTCTAAAGTTGGGAGACTGAAAATACCATTTTTTGTTTCAAAACAGGACAAAAATTCTTAAACATTACAAAAGAAAACTGATTGAAATCATCAGTAGGATGGCTTTGACAGTGTGAAGATTCTAGGCCCAAGTTCTTAAACCAAGAGTTACAGAATCCTAGTATCTAGCTTCAGAATTTAGGAAAATAGGACAGAATTTGAAAACTCACAAATACTCAGAGGTGAACAGACTTCATAAACACTCCAATGACTCACGATGAGACTTATTTTGTGGTGATCTGATTCAAATGAATAAATGGCAAAGAAAAGCAGTTGTTTCAGTGGGAGAATTGACCTCACATGACCCTTAAATGTTCTTAGAAAAAAAGCAGGACCGTTACCAAGGCGACCACGAGGAGGACCATGAGCAGGAGGGTGGCGCCGAACAGGATGCCGATCAGCAGCCAATCAGGCGACAGCAGCAGGTCTCCGTCCAGCGCGATGCCACTTTGGATCAGCGCCCGCGGCGTGGTGGGGAAGAACGGTCCGTCCTCCGAGCACTGAGCGCCATCTGCCATCACTCGCACGTACTGCAGGCGAAAGGGTGGGATGGGAGATCATGTGACAGGTAGATTTGCAATAATGACCTAAGATGTATGACTCAATAGTTTCCCTAAGAAAGTAAATGCAAAAACTGCAAAAAATTGCTCCTAGCAATTTTCAGAGAAGCTGAGACAGTGAAATCTAAAAAATATGACAAACACTGTGGACTACATGTACATTGCTCTGTGCTTAAACCTTTTTTTCATGGATAGAATTTGAAAACTTACAAATCCAAGAGCAATTAAAAGAAACAGAAGTCCATGACATGCTGACACAAAATTTAATGTTTTTTTAACCCTCTCCCTGCTGCCTAACTGCATGACCAATACAAAGTTGGTGCCAAACAGCTGCCTTAGTTAAAGAAATCGATGTTCCGCCCACCATCTTCTTGTTGACGTTGGTGCTGAGGTAGAAGACGTAGACTCCTGGGTCGGCGAAACGGTAGGCGAAGAGCGTGGTGGCGGTCTGTACCTGGCTCTGCAGCTCTGCAAGCTGCCGGAAACCTCCGTAGTCAAACTGCTCGTTTGTGTTGTACAGGTTGTCTCTGTGGAGAGAAAATTAATACAGATGTTTGTGTAACAGTGAGGTGGGGTTCTTTGATTCCCAGTGTCCTAGGAGCCAGGGTAGACTGTACTGGTATCAAAAAAAGGATTTCAAAGCTTTTGATGGTTTGGCACACTTCTCTTTCATAGTTTGTGTTGCACCCCTCAGTAGGCATAAAGGGTCAGTAAGAAGGTTCTAGCTATTTCAATGGTGGTTTAACTCACTCTTTTTACTGATTAATGAGATTTTGTACTCTAGGATGGGACATAAAGCTGACTGTCATGTTTGAGGAGAGACACACCTGTTAAAGTGTGCTAAAGCATGTTTAAGATACATTTGTACATGTACTGCACTTTTTGAGATGAGTAGGGTTCCCTTCTGGTGTGAGTGGATGGCTCAAAACTTACAGTCCAATCATACACAGCTTGTGCTTGCTTAACAAACTGGACTGATCTATGCCTTAAGTAGGCAAATGATAACAGTTTAGTGATTATGTGAAATTACATGAAAAAGGCTGTACCTATCATATACTGGGAAGTGGTCATTGGACACCTCGAAGAACATGAGCTCGTTCCAGAGCAGACAGACGGTTGGGTTGGCGATGCCCTCGTAGTACGAGCCGTTGATGGTGGAGAGCGCGAGCAGCCTCCTCCGGGCCCCGCCTGACAGCGGGAGGGTTCTCGCCGTGCCTGCTGACGTCTTCACGTTCTCCGTCACGAGGTCATCGACCTCTGCGGAGCTGGGGTTGTACACGCCCAGGAAACCATCGCCTGGAGAGGAGGGAAAAAATTCAGTCACAGTTTGAAGTCAAATCCTCTCAACATTTAATGGGGCATAAATTAGTTGATTATATGAGACTGTTTTAAAAGGCTGTCCACCTCCACAGAGTTGGGGTTGTACACACCAAGGAAACCAGTGCCTCAAGAGGTAACAAAGTTCGACAGGTTTGGTTTACAGACAAATCTTCTCAACAATTCATGGCGAAAAAGGTCTATTACAGATTATTTTCATTTTCTACTGGTCACTGTAAATTTGCAAGCTAATATAAAGCCACAGATTGACTTCCATTACATACATTGTAGAGGAAGCTACACATCTTTAATGTGTGTGTTTGAAATTGAAAATATGACTTAAGAAAGCTTTAATTCTTTAATTAAAATTCTTAAAGAGCAAAGAAAAAGTTACATAGAGGAGACAAATCAAAGCTTTTCTCATGCAAACACACCCGTCCTACGTCCTACTTACATAGATTGCCATTTCTGTACTGGAAACAGACCAGACAGCAGCCCCTACCTGACATCTGCACCAGATACACCGACTCCGGAGTCCCGTCCTTGTACTTGCAGCTTTCCTTCTTCAGCGCGATTCTGCTGTTGATGACCTTAGTCAGCTCATTGTAGGCGTACTCAGTCTGCGGATGGGAGGAAGGTTTCAGTTACAAGCACCTCAAGATGGTAAGATTCTAACTGCTGTGACAGTGAACAATTTGTGCAAAGTTTCCTCCAGGTCATTGACTTAATTTGTTTGGAATGGAAAAGAAACTAAGCAAAAATAGTACAAAGTGTAGTATGTTTTCCTTCTGCAAAGGGAGTACAGACCTTAGCAGTCCCGTTGGGGTAGTTGACCCTCAGCGTGGGTTCGTCGTCCAGAGGGTCGCAGACCAGCTGGATTCTGGTCTTCTGCAGCAGCCGGCACTCCAGATCACAGATCTCCTCCAGATCATCCACACGGCACAGGCAGATCCCCAGCAGGCCATCATAGCCCAGGTATGCTGCCTCCGAGGTACACACCTGTAAAGGAATAACAGCCAGTGTTAACACCTGCACAGGTTTAAAGGCTGTTCCTACACTACGGAAAGATTATCGGATGAAGGTGACATAAAGGTAATGAAACACAAAAAAGTTGCTTATTATGCAACTGCATAGATTTTGAAATATCCATCCAGATTTCCAGTATCCATCTAGTTGCTTAAGCAACTTTTCTTGTGTAGAATGTTTTCTCAGAGAGACTTAGCAAGAGACAAATGAAGATGAATTGAACTGTACAGAGACATACATGTACACTGATTTGGTCTGTCAATTGTAGTTTGAGTTACATCTACTGCTAATTTACAGCCAAGAACATTATTAATGCTTTCTCATCCCACCTCGGTGCTGCAGTAGGTGATCCACTGTCCCTCGTCCAAACAGTAGCCCTCCTGGTTGCGGTGCTGGTTAGCTCGGCTGTGTGTGTATGTGTGTGTGTGTGTGTGTGTTAGGTATTAAATGATCATGATCCCACCTCAGTGCTGCAGTAGGTGATCCACTGTCCCTCGATCCACACAGTTGCCCTCCTGGTGGCAGCTGGCCACATAACACCAAAACACTAATTGTTACATCTAACCTTTGAACATCTAACTCAATGTTTAACTAAACAATGTTTAAAGCTTTATTGTAAAGATCCTGTTCCCACCTCAGTGCTGCAGTAGGTGATCCACTGCCCCTCATCCAAACAGTACCCCTCCTGGTTCCGGTGCTGGTTCTCCCCACAGATGTCGAACACGTGCTCCACGCAGTCCTGCTCGCGACCCGACATGACCCGGAAACCCGCAGCACACGGGCAGGTACGGTCACTCGGCTGGGGGAGAGAGTAAGAAGTTAAACTGTAGCTCTTGAGAAGATACACAGAAATCAAAAGTCAGCCAGGTCAGCAGGGTCATTTGCTCTTACTGATCATTTACACAAATTTATAAATAAAAGTGAAAGGCATCATATGTGCAAGACACTAAAAATTACTGGTACTCAGAATCTAGGACACTGAAATAGAAGTAAAACAGAGATCTGATAATACAATTTTGCTCAATTTTGACCTTGCATTCACTGATTTTTATAATATAATCGGCTGAAGTGTTTTGAATCTCCAGACCTGGTCATAACTGGAGGTTCAGCAAAACACATTTTTACTGTCTTTGTTTCTAATTAGTTAATAGATAACACAGTATGATGGTCACAGCCTCTGATTGGCCAGCAGTAAAGCCAACCCCTGACCTGGAAGTCCCTGCCCGATCCGGTGCAGACACACCCGACCGCGCCGGTACCCGGCTGACTGGCCTCCCCGCCGCAGTGGAAACAGGCGGTCTGTGCCTGCAGGTGGTTGAAGTGGTCCACGGCGCACTCCAGACAGTCTGCCGGCCCCTCGGCAAACTCCACCGGCTGGTAGGTACCGGGGGGACAGGCTGCAGGGAGGGACACGCCCGCCTCACAGTAGTAACCTGGGGGTGGACAGTGATGGTGAAATAGATGAGACCACATATAGTATGGTGGATGGTGGAATACAATTTATGAGTCCATCAGAAGGCAAGCCATGGCATACTAGCTAGCATTGGTTGGATTGATATCGAAATCACTTCCAAACAGATTGTACATGACTGTATACTTATCAGACTATAAACAGGCAGTTCAGACCTAATGAGCACAATACACTAAAAGGAAAACTACAAAATTTGATGTGCATACAAGGTTTAAAGCCAGAAAAGAAATAACAGTCACCTAGAGATTTATGCAAGAAGCTAGAAATTTTTGTCTTGATATAATATATAGTTTCCAAGTGTCTACATGTACTTTCTAATTCTAAGTATAATCTGTATTCCGTCTAATATATCTGTAACTTTTAGTATGACTCCTTGTTTAGTACTATTTACCAATTCGGAATACACTGTACGTTACAGTAATCATTGTTGCACGATACAGTTGAGAATGTAAGAGTCTAGTGGAGATTATGACTGAGGGTTCTGACTGACCTGGAGGACAGGGGTAGGAGTTGGTGGAGTTGACTCCGAAGGTCGCAGAGTCGTTACTGGCCGGCTGGTCGGACGTCGCTCCCTCCAGACACACCACACCTGCCCGGCAGGTGAGACAGGCCGGCTGGGTCGGGTCGCTGCTGTACGTACCTGGCAGATCACAACACTTTCACTCAACACTTTGCTACATTAGTCAGGGAGGGTTAGACATCGTGCAATAAGACACGGCACTGCATATGATGTTGGAAATGGTCAGACGTTTCAGGTAGCATCCACTACCTTTTGTCAGTAGTGACACTGGAGAGTTGTCAGAAAGGCAGGTTTATAAGTACGGACTATTGATTTTGCTACATTGTATGTGTTTATGAAACGTTAATGCTAACAAGCCTTGTGTTTTGCAATCTGTTAATACAAAGTTCAATACTGTATATAAAAGCTAGAATAGCAAAGGTCTTTAGTCACAACCACTACAATGTAAGTCTTGTTTAACAAATGCTAACGTCAAATACATGAAGCTATTGCTATAGTTTACAGTATTGTGCATTATCCCATGTTGTCATAACATTTTTAAACCTCATGTACATTGTACGAACTGAATGCAATTCAGTGGCATTCACGTCCACAACAATGTTCGATAAATACAATCTTGAATTGAAATGTACCTGCTCGACAGATCTGACACACGTTCTCAAAGGTGTCTCGCGGGGTGCAGTCACAGTCGTGGTAGCCCAATGGGCACTTCAGGGGCACGATGGTGCCTAAAACATCAATTAAAAAGGTTACAACAAGTTCAAAGGATATCATGGTATTTGATATTCTACTGTGAATGTTTGTCAACAATATCCTCTGCCCGATCACAAGTCTACATTGTTGCAAGCTACAACATATTCAGTCCCAAATTGTAGTTATATAATCACTGAAGAAATTAATCTGTCATGTGTGTATCGCAGTTAGTAGAATTTCTCTATCAGTGACAATTTGATAAAGGTACGTGTTTTTACCTTAAGTCTACAAAAATGACACTACTGATGGAGGAATATTCTTCTGCATGTATCTGTAGTTATATATTATTAGCATTTTAGCATCAAACACGTTGTGATTTGCTCTTGGTAGCAGCCTTACCAGCCTCGGTGTTGTTGCAGTCTGTACCCGGGCAGTAGTGGCCCTCCGGACACTCCAGTGGATAGGAGGATCCTGCGGGGCAGTGGTAGCCAGGCGGACAGGGCAGCTGGGTCATGGAGTGGTTACAGTAGAACCCTGCAAGGCACAGACACAGTTTTACATTTGTATGCTAGAGAGCAGAGATATACAATATTCAATGTATCCTTCAAGATCTCCTGCTTCAAGATCTTCAAAACACTGTTAAACTCACTCACTTTATGAATTCATTTAAGTTCCTGCTTCTCTACTGTAAAAAAAATCTCTAATCGTTCATCGTCTACAATTACTTGACCATTTTAACATTGGCAGAATAACAGACTACAGACTCTTAAAGCTGGCAAAGGAAAACCCGTATAACAGCTAAGATGTCCCCTTCTTGCTGATAACAGCCTGATAAAGTATTTAACTTGTATACAATCCCAATTTTCTTACCTTCAGCACAAGATCAAATCTGCATAATGTTATCAGACAGATGAAATTGTCTGAAACTACTCAATGTAAGACCATCTACTGACCGGCCTGACAGAGCGTCTGGTTCATGGAGCCCTCAGGGCAGTAGGTTCCTTCATCACACAGGATCCCGGTGAAGGTGGTTCCCCCGTCCGGACAGTAGAAACCAGCTGGGCAGGGGTGGCAATCAAACAGACCTGCGGGGAAGTAACACGGGACGTTTGTTTGAGCCTTACACTTCCATTGATTTTTCACTATTTATTGAAATTAACACAATCAAATAATTTAAAAGCTTTTTAGAACACCTTTCTGAAATTTAAAGCCAAAAAATATCTTGGCTAGTACCTATCTCTACACCTATCCACGCACATGTATCCCCAACAACTAGAATCAAGACTTGTGACTGAATAAGATTTCCAATCTCTCAGCTATTGCTTAGAAAAGCCCCCAAATTAAAGTGATCATGAAAGTTAAGTTAAATTCCACCCTGCAACCATTGACTTGGTCGCTTATGGCAGTACCCATCCCCATGTCTGTAGCCCTTGGGCCACACAGAAGAGAACAGCAGGACATGAGAAACATTCCCCACCTCCTGCTCCCACAGTGTCCCTGTATGTCCCCACTGGACACTCCTCTGGCTCAATGGTTCCTTCCACACAGAAGTAGCCAATGGGGCAGGGGAAGGCTGTGTAGTTGGTGGTGGCTGGAACAGTCAAAGCAACATCAACATGTGAAACTATGATTTTGCAGACTATTTCTATGCATACTGGTGATTTTTTTAAGGATCTAGCATAAGGCTTAGCTTAATTACTCAGCAAGGCTGTCTCCTATTGAATACTTAGTACATATATTAAGATGGAAAAAAACGAACCTTCCTACTTCATATTACATCTGCATTATTTGAGGATCTGGCAAAAGCATAATAATTGGTTACTGTGGCCATCTCCTGTTAAACGGAACCTTCAGTGGAACGGGACCTTTTTTTTCCTGTTAAACACATTTCAAGATTGAAATTCACAATAATTAAAAAGAAAAGAAAGACCAAACCTTGATACTTGCACCAGTAGCCGGCAGGACAGGGCAGGCAGGTGCTCATGTTGGTGGCGCCAGGCTCTGCGGAGTAGGTGGCGTTGGGGCAGGCGGTTTTGGGGTGGTCGTACGGACAGTAGTACCCGGGGGTGCAGTCCTGGGGGACCGTGTCGTTAGCAGTGCAGATCTTACCCGCAGGACAAGTGGAACATTCTGCATCCGAGGCGGCACCCTCTCTGTCCACTACCAGGCCAGGGGGGCAGCGGGACACATCCAATGCACCTGAGGGGGGGATTAGAACAAGACTTATTATGGTCTCGTCAGAGTGATATTATGGCCCATCATGAATAAGCATATTGCTTAGGGTTATGATCTTCAGAGTGACATGTTTCTGTGTTATAGAAAATCTGATCATTCTGTAAATTATCACCATTCAAATTTAAAAAGTTTCAATTTTCATTGGCCAGATTTGGTCTGAAATACATTTTTTTTTTGGGGGGGGGGGCAAAGATTGATAGCACTCACCTTCCAGACAGTAGTAGCCATAGGGACAAGGCTGGCCCATGGTGGGATCAGAGCCATCTGGTGTGGGCGTGTCACTGCCACTGTAGCACAGGTAACCTGCAGTACAGTCTCCAGCCTCACGTCCACCCAGGCAGTATTTACCTGGGAGAAACAACAGGAGAGATATAACACACACACAGGTAACCTGCTGTACAGTCTTCAGAAACATTTTACATTAGTTATATATAATATAATATATATTTTATGTATCATAATGTATTATAATGTCTAGTATTGATGTATTACAATGTCTATTGTAACTTTTTTTTCTGTACGCAAACTCTTCCAATTCAGGGATTCTCATCCCTGCTGCAAGGTCTGCTTT